CAGAAGTTATCTCAGGACACATAGTGCAAATAAATAAATGTATGGTAAAATCAGTATTAATTGGGTGTACATTAGCTCCCTATATGAAGTAAGTGAACTTCTACAATCAGCAATGACATAAGGCCATGCTGCCATGACACCTAGTGGCTATTGCCGCCTAGTGACCTCTCTTCCAAAAACCCCCTATGTTCAGCCTCTATTACCTGCATGGTGTCCATTGGGGTTGAGGTGACCACGGTCGAAGCCAGAATGTGTGTAGTCCTCATTCAGAGCCTGTCTCTCTCCCAGGTAGACCCCAGGGTGGTCTTTACCCAGCCAGTATCCATCCTTCATCTCTGCTTGCCACGTAATGTCTACTAGCTATAAGGCACATACAAATTCTCAGATTTAAACACACAAATGCAAGCACCTGTACTGATTCTTTACAAACAGAACAGCCCTATCAGTGCATCAATACTCTGCTTACTTGATGTATGCCACACATGCTGATGATTTTGATTACATCAATGCTGTGGATGCATGTGTACAGTATAGATATGTGGTACCAACCTGAGGCTCAACAAACCACCTTTTCTCCCTGCCACCTCCATTGCTGGGCTGGAAATGATAGGCAGAGTAGACAGCAATACGATGGTTGGTGTCATACAGTGTGGCAAAGTGGTACCTGATGGTGGAAAGATGAAGTATACTGATTTGGAGCTCAGAAATGTTGCAATGGACAATTGAGGTCTAAGAAACATTTGGTGATAAAAAATACTCTGCGGTAAGATTTCTGAGATTCAAAGGATCAGTTGTGATGAATGAACATTATAGCGAGCTGGGCTGTAGTAGAAAGGTCCAAATCCCACTTTCCACCCTACCCCTACCTGTTGACAAAGCGCTGACAGAGATGGGCAGCACCAGGTGTTGAAGCCCCCCACTCTGGCACCTTCTCTTTATAGAAGTACTTCATGCATTCTGGTGCATCCTGAGACAAAATACCAAAATAACGCATGCTCAACAAACACACACAGATTTAACGTTCCTTAAAGTTTTTGAAATAACTGGAATAAGCACACAAACCTCGAAGCGTCCCACAACATCTGCATGAGCAGAAAAGAGGAATGAGAGTAGAGTGCACAAAGTCACCAAGGTTTCCATCCTGGACACAACCTCAGATACTTGACTGCCCTGTAGAGTTAAATAATAAATAATAAAATACATACTCAACAAGGCAGTGTATGGTATGCAGTTACAGCTTAGGCCTGCACATGCACGAGGATCAGTTTGTTTGTATTGTCTGTGTTTGTATGCGTGTATTTCCACTCACCTGCTGCCACAGTCCGCCCTGAGCACAAACTGGCTTTTATATATGACTTTTCTTCACCTTTCACCTGGTTTGTCCTCTCCTTTTATCTGACCTCCTCTTAACATGTGATGTTTGTGTGGGATGAACAAGAATTTGGCCAACAAATGAGGTGTGGATGTGACCAAATGTAGGTGTGTAAAACTGGAACAATGATATAGTAAATGCCAATTTTAGCGCTACTATAGTATGAGTCCCAGTGGAATTTGTGAGATCATTTTCAGGTGTTGTTACTATATGACAATATTTCATGTTATCCAAGTATTGTACTTAAGTATAATTTTGGGGTGTTTGTGTTTTACTTGAGTATTTCCATTTTCTGTTACTTACTTTTTTTAACTGCATTTATTTGTTAACATTAGTTACTTGTTACTTTGTAGGTTGAGATGAATAATAATGGCTGAGATGATGTGTTATTATAGGTTAAGATACAATAAAATATTTTGATGCTAATACTGTTTATACTTTTATCAAGTCAAATATTTCTACACTGTGGCTTTGCTGTGTGTACTTCTTCCACCCTTAGCTTTAAAGCTTGCTGTGCAAGTCATTTCTTGCCTAATACTGTATGAAATCATGCACATTTCCAATACATAGCTGTCTATTTTTAGCTACTGTCCAATTTCTTGGAAACAAGATCATTTTACACAGTAACTGTAATTCAGTGAGGAATTTCAGCTTTTTGATGATGGTGAAATAAGATGAATGGGCGTTTAACTTATGAGTTCTGATACAACAAAAACATTCCTGTTATCTGATATCAGGATCACTTTCTGGAATATTTACAACATGTGCATTTGGCAGATTTACTCACAACCTCCTACAGCCAGCTCTTGGTTAGGTAACACCAAGATATCTGTTGTTTTTCCCACGATCACAGCACAGGCTATGTGCGAACGTCACATGTGGACTCTCAGTTCTCTAACTCACCTAACACAAAACTACTCCAAATGTGAGAACTTCTTGTCAAGGAGAAACTTCTCTAGATCACACTCTTTGACAGAAATGCCATCTCAATTGTTATATATTTAAGGGAGGAGACTGAATGATTCATTTTTTT